CAGAGAGAGAGAGAGACACGAGAGAGACAGAGAGAGAGAGAGAGAGAGAGAGAGAGAGAGAGACAGAGAGCTCTTTAACTTGATATGATGAAGTCAGATTTAAAGCACCATTAGGGGCTGGTGGAGTGGCTCAAGTGGTAGAGCATCTCCTAGCAAGTGCGATGTCCTGCGTTCACATCCCAGTACCACAAAAACAAAACAAAACACACAAACAACAATAAAATCCCCATCATTAGGATGGAAAGGGCAGTGCCAGCTGAGGTGCCTGGACTATTGCTGGTCATTTGCAGAGCACCAAGTGATGGCAAGGCGTCCCCTACAGAGCACTGCTGCAAAGCCCACTGTGCCTAACATCAGCAGCAATCTATTCCCTGCTAATTGTGCAGGTGACCCCGCAGTTGACAGGAATGGGTACTTCCTCAACAGAAGGAAGGACCTCTGGAGACACTGTGGTCCCTCAGTTATTTTGACTCTTGGCCTGCTGGGCCTTTTGTAATTAGGTTAGCTAGTTAATGTTTGTATTATCTTGGGGGGGACCAATTCCTTATTAGCTCACGGTAAGGCTGAGTAAAATATCATTTAAAAAACCGACTTCTCCTTTTGGAAAACTAGTGGTAGCTGCCAAGATGAACATACATTCACTGTCTGACCCAGCAATTTCAATTCCAAACACGTATGCCCAGTAGTACACATGCCGATTCACCAGAAAACATGTGCTAGGGACTAGGCATGCTGGGACAAACCTGTACTCCCAGATGTTCAGAAGTTAGAGCCAGAATTGCTGTTCGAAGTTAGCCCAGGAAAAAGTTAAGACCCCATCTGAAAAACTAGTGGGTCATGGTGGTGGTTCATGATTGTAATCCTAGCTACCAGGGAGGCAAAGGTAGGAGAAACTCCTTTGAGCCTGGCCCCAGGCAAAAGCAGGAGACTCTATCTGTAAAGTAAACTAAGAACAAAAGGACTGGAGTGTGGCTCAAGTGGTAGAGTATCTGAGCCCAAGTTCAACCCTCCCAGTACTACCCCACCCCAAGTGCATAGAAGGTTCATGGTGGCAGCTACCCAGACATCAATTAATGGTAGAAAGGATAATTATGAACAGGAAATACCATACAGCAGTAGGGTCGGTCACACTAACTTCAGATAAGGTATTGGATTTCTATTGCTGTGAAACAAATGACTACAAACATAACAGCCTGAACAGCACACAGTTGTGCACTCCCAGTTGTGTGAGTCTTAAATCTGGGTGCAGCATAACTGGTGTCTCTGAAATCAAGGTATGGCTAGCTGGAACTCAGGACTCTGTGTGTGTGTGTGTGTGTGTGTGTGTGGTGAGGGGGTTTGAATGCAGGGCTTCTTTCTTGCGATGCTGGTGCTCTGCCACTTGAGCCACTCACTCTTCCAGTCCTTTAGGGCTCTTCTTGAAGGTCATTCATGTTGGTGGTAGACCCAGGGTCTTTTTTGTGATTGGAGGATTGGGGTCCCCCATTTCCTTGCTTGGTTGTCAGCCAGGAGCCAATCCCCTCCTGGCAAGCGCGATGCCCTGCATACTTGTTAAAGACCCCATCTCTAAAATAACCAGAGCAAAATGGACTGGAGGTGTGGCTCAAGTGTGCAAAGTCCTGAGTTCAAACCCCACTCCCACTGAAAAAAGAAAAGTAACAAATCCAAATTATTCTAAGAACTTTTAAATCGCAGTATGATACATTTACAAAAAGATACATGAACCATCTGTATGCTTTGCCAGGCGGCTCCTCTATCTTCAAAGACAACAATGAAGCCCTCTGTTTTCTCCTGTGAATCCCTCTCAAGCCTCATTATCTCTTCTACCAGAAAGAGCCCAGGCCCCTTTAAGGGCTCCCGTGGTCAGACTCACAGAGGCCAACTGATTGCTAACTGATTTCGACCTAATTACAAAACCCTTGTCCAGAGGCGTCTAGAGCAATGCTCTGTTGAATGACTGGGCGAAGGTATGTACATAGATGTGGCAAGGAATCTTGGGGTTCATTTAGAAGTCTGCCCACTCACACACAATGACATGGATGATTCATAATCAACACGGAGCCAAAGATGTCAGACACGAAGACTACATAATGTATGGTTCCATTTATTGAAAACACAAGAACATGAAGTACACTCATCTTTGGTGTTAGAAGTCAGAACAGTGGTAACTCTTGAGTAACGGTGACTGGGAAGGGATCTGAGGGGATTCTAAGGGCTGACCATGTTTTTGTTTCTTGATGTGTGTGCTTGGTTTATGGAAACTGAGCAAGCTGTACAGTTAATGGTTCATGTACTTTTTTGTAAATATATCATCCTGTAATTCAAAAGTTCTTAGGATAATTTGGATTTGTTACTTTTCTTTTCTTTTTTTTTTTTGATGGGACTGGGTTTTGAACACAGGGCTTTGCACTTGCAAAGCAGGCGCTCTACCACTTGAGCCACACCTCTATTCTATTTTGCTCTGGTTATTTTGGAGATGGGATCTTTCACAAGATGTCTCAGGCTGGCCTCAGACTGTGATCTTCTTGATCTCAGTCTCCCAAGTTGTTGGAATTGTAGGTGTGAACCCCAGACACCAAGCAATTCGTTACTTTTATTTTTTAATTAATTAATTTTGGTAGTACTAGGATTTGAACTCAGGGACTCACTCTTGCTAGGCAGGCACTCTACCACTTGAGCTACTCCACCAGCCCTTTTTTTGTGTTTGGGTATTTTCGAGATAGAGTCTTGTGAACTATTTGCCTGGGCTGGCCTCAAACTGTGATACTCCTGAGTAGCTAGGATTACTGGCACAGGCCAATTTGTTATTTTTAAGTAGATTTGGTTTGTTCTTCAAAGAAGCATGCATCCCAAGACAAATGTCAGAGTGGGTTCCCTAAGGGGGTGTTGGACAAGCAGGACTAGAAAGAAAACAGAACCTAAGCACTCCACAAGTAAGTGACAATTAGGTGAAAATCTGTACTCTTGTCAACTTGGGACCTGAGTGCAGGACCTTCTATATAATTTGTGTGGCCCAGTGGAAAGTGACATGCACACTCCCTACCCTCCCCCACCTTAAAAATTTGAAGATAGCTGGGTGTGGTTGTGCATTTCTTCAATCCCAGTACTCAGGAGGTTGAGGTAGGAGGATTGCATGTAGCCTGAGCTACATAGGGAGGCCCTGTCTCAAACATAACAAAGCAAAATTTGAAGACAGCAGAGTAGAGCATTGACCCAGTAGGAGGGAGCACAACTGAACGGGCACTCCTATGAGTGTCAGTACACTCCTGCCTGTGAGTGTGGGAGAAAGCTACATCTCAGAATCCAAGGATTTCTCATTAGGTGAGTGGCTTTGGGCCGCTAGCTCTTTGGTCCATACAACTGTAAAATGAGCTAGTCAGAAGCTAAGAGGCAAAAATTCATTAATATAGCCAGGTGTGGTGACTCACGCCTGTAATCCTACCTACTCAGGAGGCAGAGATCATGAGGATCACTGTTCAAAGCCAGCCCAGGCAAATAGTTCTGCAAGACCCTATCTTGAAAATATCTAACACAAAAAGGGCTTGGTGGAGTGGCTCAAGGTGTAGGCCCTGAGTTCAAGCCCTGGTACTGCAAAAAAAAAAAAATCATTAATATAACTGAGAGCAAGCATTTTTTTTTTGTATAGAACACCAAATGAATGAAGGAATTATTATGACAGCCCTCCTGAATTTAATTAGTTAAAAAGTCCACCTATGACCTCCTGGATGAATAAACACACAGATTCTTCAAAGACAGCAAGCAGCACAAGGTCTGCTTCTGCCTTGTGAAAGAACACAAATTCCAAATTATTGATGGAGCCCTAATCATGAGGATTTGCCATGCATTCCTCAGTCTTTTCAGTTCACAGAGGAAATTACTATATGCCATGGTTGAGGGAACTGGAGTCTGGGCGTTTCCTACTTAAGTTCTTTTTCTTGCTGGGATTTGAGTTTTGGTCCAGTTCCAAGTACAAACCTGGCCTACCTCTGGAAGGTCCTGGGAAGGGGCGCCCAGCCTGGGTTGAGTGGCGAATGCTGCAGACAGGAGACCCCCAGGCAGCTGGGGACTCTGCGGTGTCAGGATGGCGTGCAGAGCCTGGAGCAGGGTGGTGGTGGTGAGGGGGGAGGGAGTGGGATTTTTCCGGGTAAGAATTTCTGCAGAGGCGTAACATTCGCTTTGCATTCGTGAGCATCTTCCCTGGCGTACACTCTGTAAGCCTAGTGCTTCTGGACCTAGTGACTTAGTAAAGCTTTTGGGGCCGTGGTATCCGAAGGCTGTCGGGTGCCTAACCTAAGATTTAAGAGTGGTTCCAAGGATGAGACAAGGTCCCAGTGTCTCGATGACAACGGGGTCTTTGACCAACAGCCGCAAGCTGCAATTGGGAAGGAGGAAGAGGCCTGTGGCGAGGACGGGCAGTCCCTGAATTTCTGCCCAGCAGGAGTTGGGCGCCGGGGGCGCGGGCGGACACCCCGCAGGCCATTAGCATGCAGGAGTCGCGCGCGCCGTCCTTGAAGGGCTGCCCGGCTGACCTTGCTCCGATTTCTCGGGCGAAATCGCTAGCAGCGCTGGAGGACGCGGTCACCGTGGGTGACTCAGTGCCCTGAGCTCCGCATGCAAATATTCCTCTCCAGCGAGCCTGGCTCTGCAGCTTTGGCTTCCCCTGGCTGCCCTCCTTTTAATTCCACGATTCAAACCCGGCGTTTTCCGCCCCACCCCTCCCCCTCTCCACGGGCCTCCTGTCACTGGACTGTCAGGGTGTGTTGTCCCCCACCTCTCATCCGCAGACCCGAAAGCCAACCTTCACACTTCGTGGCTGCAGGCCCGCCCCAAGCAAGCCCCACGCGCCGGGCGACCGCGATCGGAGCCCGAGCGGAGGGGGCGGTGCGGACGCGCTGGAGCGCACTGGGCGACCGAGCCCGGCCGCGTTCCCCATTGGCCGCCACTTCGGCGGGAGGAGCCGGGCCCGGGTCGGGGCACCTGCCGTCGCTCCTCCTCGGGGCAATCGGCCGCTGCCGGGCACTGGCGCCCGGAGGTAAAAGCAGCGGAGGGAAGGCCTGGGGCTGCAGCCGAGCTTCTCCTGGCAGCTCCTGTCCTGTCGCCTGGCGTGGCGCCAGAGACGTGCTGATGCCGCCCGCTTTGCCTGCGCCAGCCGGAAACTTTGCCCCGCGAAGTCCTCCGTCCGCTTGACCGCGCCGTGAGACGACAGGTCCGCCGCGCGCTCCACGGGGCCCCGGAACCCAGCGCGTGATTGCCGGGCCGCCCCGCATCCCGCGTCCGCGGCGGCCGGCCGCCAGGATGCGCTACGCAGACCCTTCAGCCAACCGGGATTTGCTGGGGAACCGAACTTTGCTTTTCATCTTCATCTGCGCCTTCGCCTTGGTGACCTTGCTGCAACAGATCCTGTACGGCAGGAACTACATCAAGAGGTAAGAAAGTCCGAGAGGGGGTGAGATGCGCAGAGCTCCCAGGCTAGCACTCAGGTGGATCCCTCCGTCCCCGGCGTGAGTGATGTTGGGGTCTGCACTTATCCCCAGCACCGCCGTGTTTGGCTTGGGTCATGGCGCTCCCATGCGTATCTCTGCAGCCAGCGGGAGGAGAGCGCCTGCCCTGTGCGGACGGGCTGGGCAGGGGGGACAACTTTGTTCTGCTGTGAAAAAATGGGGAGCAATTTGGAATTCCATGCACCCAAGCTGATCATAAATGCATGTGAATGTCCAGAGTGGCGGCAATGATCAGATCAACGTTCCCCAAACCTATAGTTCCATGGCCATTTGGCTGGAGCCCCAAGGTGAAGGGCTCAAAATGGGGTAATTTTTTTAACCTGGTCTAAATTTTTGAGGATCTTTGCGGGGAAAGGCGTTTTCTTTCCAGGAGCGTCTTGTTAGGTGGGGACGGCAGTGGGCAGCGAAGATGCACAGAAATAGTGAATTCTTACATTCTCACAGCCACTGGATGTGTGAAACTCACAAGCTGATCTTTTTGGAACCACATGGTTTTTTCCTCCTTAGCACCAAAGGTCAGAACTGCCGCAGAAGTTGGGCTGTCCCCACCCTACCCCCAGCCATGGCAAACTCTATGAAGAGAAAGGGCAGCAGGAGGTGTCTCTCGGAAACTCACAGGCTCAGTCTCTGAGTGCAAAAGACACACAGAAATGCCTACATTCTCCTGCAGCTCTTCTGGTTTAGGCTTAGCGGAAACGCTGCAGGTTCCCCATCCTGGTTGGGGGCTGGGCGAGGGGGCTCAAACCTAGCTGTTCCTATACCCAGTCACTGGTGGGAAGAGCCCCTTGCATTGTCTCCCCAGTCTCACCTTCACTTCCCCACCCCCCAACACACACTGACAGAAAGAAAAATGTCTCTCTAGCTACATAAATACCCATGTTCTTGAAATTTACAAATAATGGAATAGTTACTCTTTTTCCATCCTTTGGGGTCTGCATTAGTCATGTGTGCTCACTATCTGAGTTGCCCAGAGAGTGGAAGGGCAAGGGTTGCTGGTGGTGGCCTCACTCCCAGCAGGAATTCTTAAAAAAAAAAAAAAAAAAATCAGGCAATTTCCGTGCTTGTAACTCCCCCCCTCCCACACTCCCCAGAGCTGGGGAGCCAGTTGTCCAGACTTTCCCAGAGAGCCTTCTTCCGGGGTTGGCAGCAGCTCATGTGCTCTGTGCAGCTCTGGTGGCTTTTAAAGGACATTTTCAGAGTCTTCTAGCTTGTTGGATCTTTTTGTGACCATTGCCCCAGAGGTGATCTTGTGCAAGGACAGCTGGGTCCCAGAATGAGCCCACTGGGGAAACTTGAAGGCCCTTTGCCTGCTGCTGCTTTGGCACCTGCTTTTCAGGGGGGCAGCTCTGGATTCCTGTCCCTGCTGGAGCCTCCCCAGAATGGCTGGGGCTGTGGGGACTGCTGCCTGGTCAACAGGGGGAGATGTCAGTTCAGGGCAGATGCCAACTGCGATACTGCCTGCTTGTTCTGGCAAGCCTACCTGGTGTTGGGTGGATGGGCTAGTAGCCCACAGGTGTACTGGCTGCTTTCTATTCTCTCTCTCTCTCTCTCTCAACCCAGATCCCTAAATCCTATAGATGCTTCCTTGTAGGCCTCACTCCAGGGACTCAGCTCAGTCCATCCAAGCAAGCAAAACTTGTTTATGCCTAATCTAGGAAGGGAGCTGGTGGGGAGGGTGGAGGCTACAAAGAAGGTGATGATACAGTGGTGGTGCTCAGGGAGTTTGAAACCTATTTTGGGAAACAAATGGTCACAAATGAGATAAGTAAGTATCTCACTGATGGGCTGGAGCAGTTAGGGAAGATTGCCTGGAGGAGGTGGAATTTGAGTGGGTCCTGAAGGAAAAGTAAAAAAAAAAAATTTTTTTTTGGTAGGACTGGGATTCGAACTCAGGGCTTTGCACTTGCAAAGCAGGCACTTTATCACTTGAGCCTCATCTCCAGTCCATTTTGCTCTGGCTATTTTGGAGATGAGGTCTTGTGAACTATTTGTCTGGGCTGGCCTTGAACTGTGATCCTCCTGATCTCAGCCTCCCAAGTAGGTAGGACAGGCATGAGACATCAGCAGACTGGAAAAATAAATTTTTAATAGAGAAAGGGACATGAGCAACCGGAATGGCAGAGGAGCAGGTTTGGGCCTCTCTTCTCTCCCACACATGGAGACAGCACAACCCCTGGTTAGTCCATCAAGGAGGCTGTCCTGGTCCTGACTGGCTTGTGACTGACACATCAGTTGCATTGTGTAACAATGCTTACACAGAACACTTGCTCACCTGCCCCATTTCCTGCATGCATCATAACTGTCATGAACTGACTAGGGGAGTATCAGCCTGGCTTCTGTCTGGAAACACTGGATCAGGGTTCCTTAAGCAGACGCCTGTGCTGGAGTCCCCTGGAGGTCATTGTGATACAGATTAGCAGTCTTTTGGATTGGACTGCCTAGTGACCTGCCTGTCTAGCAGGACCCCAGGTGGCCTTAAACACACTCCCCCTGATGCTTTACACCAGTGGTTGTCATTTGAGGGCAATTCTGCCCTTAGGCAATGAGCAGAGACATCTTTGGTTGTCACACAGTTTCACTGGCACCCTGTGGGAAGACAGTAGAGATGCTCCAAAGATCATCTAAGGCACAATCTACCTCCCACAACAGGAATGATCTGTCCTGGCACTGGTGGTGTGGCTCAAGAGGTCGAGTGCCTGTATAGCAAGTATAAGGTCCTGAGTTCAACTCCCAGTACCTCCAAAGAAAGAGAGAAAGAGAGAGAGAGAGAGAATGAATTATCAGCCCCACATGTCAGTAGTGCTCTTTACTGAAAGTTGTGAGGTAGGGATTCACTCTTGCCTTCCAGTTGTGCACTCAGCACCTATGTATCTGGCCCATAATAAGTCTTTAATAAATACAGATAATAACAAATGATTGACGTGGGGATAGGTGTATGTGTGTGCCCATGTGTGCATAGGGACAGTAGTTGATATATTTTTTGGTGGCACTGAAGTTTGAACTCAGGGCCTCATGCTTGTTAGGCAGGCGCTCTACCACTTGAGCCATTTAGCCAGCCTTTTTTTTTATGATGAGTTTTTTCAAGATCGGGTCTTGCAAACTATTTGCCCAGGGCTGGCTTCAGACTGAAATCTTCCTGATCTCTGCTTCCTGAGTAGCTACGATTACAAGGTGTGAGCAACTGGCGCCCTGCCCAGGGACAGTAGTTGAAAGAGACTGATGAAGAGCTGAATCCAGTGGTGAAGGGGGATGTACGGAGGCAGTAGGCCACTGGAGCAGTGTCAGAATGAAGATTCTGTGAAGATTGAGGACAGTTTGAGCTTGGCTCATGGCTCCACAATAGCCCTTGAGCAGGGTAGTGACTTGACAAGGAAGGCTTCTCCAGAAGGGGAAAGAGGAAGAGAGGCTGGGAGGTATCACAGCCCAGTCAAAATCGAGGAGGACTTGGCTTGGGGAGTGGGTCCCCTTTAGACCTTGGGGACTCTCAAAAGTACCATTCTTTGCTTCTGCACTGAGCTGGTGTGATAGTACCTCACAATGGCCTCAGGAGCACCAAGATGGCAGTGAGAATTCAGGCACAGGTTGCTACAGCAAGAAGTGGTAGATGTGAGTCCTTGTGAATTTGTTTCTTTGGACCCTTGTTCTTTTCCTGGGCTGTGCAGTGGAGATTTCTGGGAAGGCCCATCGTGAGCAGTCAGAACTCTGGGGATCTGCCTTGGTCAGGAGGGGAGAAGAGAGGACAGTGCAATGGCCTAGTGGGTTCTGTGTCTCTCCTGGAGAAAGTGGACACTATGGGTTTAGGAGGAAAAGGTGAGGGACAAAGCTGTGGAGTTTGTCCTTGATGTTTTTGGCTTCCTGTGTCTGCTCATCATTAATGAAGATTTACTGTGTGCTGAGCACCACCCAAAGTGCTGAGGGTACAATGTGGGCAAGACACACACACACAGGCCAGGGTCCTGGGGAGCTCACAGGCTGCTGGTAAGACAGAAAGGCACAGAACTCAAACGTGAGGCACACCCGGAGGGGAGTGGGCAAGGGACTCTAAGAATGAGAAGGAGGCAGCCATAGTGTATCAGAGTGCTTCCGGGTTCTTGGAGGCAGTTGAAAGAGGTTTTAAAGAAAGAGCAATGCTGCCCAGCACAGGTGGAGGTGGAATGAAGGTCACAAACCCAGCAGGAGCAGGGAATGAAGACTGCAGGGTAAAAGCTGTCTTGCCAGGGCCCAGGTGTGGCAGGACCAGAGTATGGGGAACAAAGTGGGGACATGTGTGAGAAGGAGAGTGTACAGAAGATGGAGAATCACACCTTTGATACCGAATCAGCTTGGGCACAGAAAGCTATCCTCATGGTACCAACAAGCAGCTCTTTGGAAATGGACTCCAGAACTGCACATGGAAGAAGCAGGCCAGCAATGCAGACTTTAGAGTTACCCATTATCAAATTCACATTTTGTGAAACAATTCTTGACCTTATTATGAGAAATATGCTCTCCTATTTTCAATTCTGCTTCATTAAAAAAAAAAAAAAAACCCAAAAGCAAAAAACAAACTTGCCACGTGGAGGTTGTAGCTCAATGGTAGCATGATTGCCTAGCATGCATGAGGCTCTGAATTTAGCACCCAGCACGGAAAAAAAAAGTAAAAGCACTTTTCTATTTCATTAAAAGATACAATGAAATATTATTCGGTCTTAAAAAATAAAATTCTGACACATGCTATAACATGGATGAGCCTTGAAGACATGGTGCTAAGTGAAATAAGCCAGGCATGAGGGGACAAACACTGTGTGATTGCACGTATATGAGGTTCCTAGAGTTCTGTTTCATGGAGACAGAAGGTAGAATTGTGGGTGCCAGCAGCTGGGAGTGGGAGGGGAATTATCATTTAATGAATAGAGAGTTTTAGTGGGGGAAGATGAAAAAGTTCA